TTCAAAACGAAGTCCATTATAATTTTTGATTGCCACCGTACAATGATTGGAATTCTATTACCAAGTCAAGTAATATCAACAAAAAACGAAATAATTCTGAAAATTCTGCATTCGAAAGAATGATATTTGATCTATTGACTTTAATTACCAATTTTTCGCTATCATGATTTTCTTTCGCAAAAATAGAAAAATATTTCTTTCTTAGTATTTATTCCAAAAAAAAAAAGAATTTACGAAGGCGTCTTTCTCAATTTTATATTGTTTTTTAAAGTAACTCAAAGGAAGGCCGTTCTTTATCTATTCAACAGAAGTCAATAAAAAGTTTCATTTCTTTAGAAGATTATAGGGCGTTAGTCTATAAATATATTTAAAAAAGTAGGTATGTCTTAACGTCGCTCGCACGCAAGGGACTTTTCTTTAGAATGCTATGATTTTGAAACCTACGCAGCCAATTTGGAGCCTTCCTGCTGAGAAGGGTCATATAGCTGTAGTATAATGCAACTTCTTTATGCATACGAGCGAATTCGAGCTAAATACCCACCGCTAGTCGAGATCCATATACATGTACTAATTTATGTTATACATTACATTCTATAGAAAAAAAACACAGGTGGAAAACTTACCACAAGCATACAGCCGAGTTCATTATTTTATTAATTTCATTATTTATTATTGTTGGTATCGTGGTAATCTATTTATTATTTATAAACAAGGGCGATAAAAAAGAATACAGATGTCTGATGAAATTGAATACCAGCTGTTATTTCTGACATTGCTGAAGTAATTTCCCAGTCCAACCTCTTCCATCACTTTCCCTGGCCAAAAAATATGGAGTGGTCACGCACACCCCACTGCAACTGTAGGATAAAACGCATAAATAAGTTTTTTGGTTCTTATCATGTTGCTGGGGCTATTTCACAGTCCCACCACATTCTGCATCATCTAGGGCCAGTATGTGCGGAAGGTCGCACTCCTAATGTAACTTTGCGTGATAAAACGCATTGAGGTTTAGATAAGTTGGATACCAGCAGCAATATTGGCATTGTTGAAGATATTTCGGAACCAACATTAATCACTTGATGTATTTAGACACAAAGTAGTCATTATCGTTGTATTTCGATTGCCAGATGGAGTTGATTCCAAATTTCACCAACGGAACGAAACATAACGTCTTGATTGATCCCACGGGTTGATCTATGTGCTATTTCTGAAATTAATACCCATTCTCCCTAATTCATCAGCAGTGTGATTGAGAATGTAATAGAGTTTGGTAGATATGGACGTATTTCTGAAGAACATCCCCCCCACCCCCTTCTCTCACTCTCTCTCAAATCACGTAACAATTTACAAGTTAACGAAGGAAATCCGTAGTGTTATAAAAAATGCTTTTCTTCTCGCATGTAATAGAGTTCCATGGATATATACGTATTTGTGAAGCACCCGACCCAGGCGTAGAATCCTAGGTAA